AAGGAGAGTACTGTAATTCCACTAACCTGTTCCACTCTCGCATAAATTGAGCCCCCAGGCATTTGATGAAAGGCATGCACAGTCCTTGTTTTTTTTTTCCCCAGCAGCTGGAATGCTCCCACTGCATAGTATTTCTTTTTTTTGTTTTTGTTTGAAACAGTTCTTGCACCCAGCTATTCAAAATGCAGAGGTCTTGTTTCTAGAAACTCACATCCCACCTCAAAGTTAGAGCAGTCTGTGACTGCTCTTTAAACCAAAGCATTTCTGCATCGTTCAACAATTAATGGTTAACTTAGGGTGATCCAGAAAAGCTTTCGGTGGATCCCTCTGTGATCACTCTTACTAGAGCTGCGTCAAGTGACTCAGAGTAAGGTAAGGCTGGTTACATAAACAGAAGGTAGGTGGCTTAACAACCTTGATCTTATCACAGACTTGTCAGTGGAGAGAACTGCATGTTACTGCGGAGCTAACCCACATGTCAATGCACTGGAAAGGAGTCAGATGTTTTCCACATCCGTCAATTGGGGAATGCTTTGCAGCGTTACTTATTGAGCTGGTTCAGATTACACAGAATAACTTCAGAGCCTGCAGTTTCCAGTGCTTTACCTGCCTTGCCTATCCAAGGCAGTGCTTGCTACTGAAGAGTCAGCAGAGAAAAACAGAGAATAAAATCAAGCAATGATACCATTTAGACCGTTCAAACTCCAAGAGAGGAGGGAATTACAAATTTGGATGCTCTAGGATGTCAGACTCCATACATTTCTGGGAGGGAGAAAAAAAGGGAAAAAGAAGAGGAAAAAAAAAAAAAAAAGACATAAATTTCACCCTTTATATTGACACCTGAATGGAAATAAAATTATTTTACAAATCTGACATCACTAGACCCCAACACCCAGATGCTTCCATGCTGTTTTGGCACTTGTTCATTCCTCAGCCTGAAGCAAGCTTTCTAGCACACTGCTCTAGCTTACACATGTTAAAAAATAATCTTAAGAAGCCACATTTAGCCTCTCTCCGATCAGTGCCTGTGTAATTTACAGGAGTAACAGGTTAGACTGACCTAGGTATAAATGAGAAAGATACATCACAGCTGCACATCTTAACCAGTCTGGAAGCCTTTGCCAAGCTTCTCCAGGCTTTTGAAACACAACTTAAGATTTTTCAACAGTGTTTCTACCTTTTTTACTCCTAACAGAGAAACAATGTGCCTACTCATCCTGCTACTATGCATCAGGGGGCACACCTGCTTCCTTGTTCCAACCTGGGAAAATGTTGTCTCCCTTTCAGCAAAGCTATTTCCAAAGCCTATTTACTGGTTTGTTCAAGTCTAGACTTTATAATTTTGCAGCCTAATGTGTAGTTCAGTCACCCATGAAACTGCTGAACAGCCTGCAATTGTGTGCAAACTCACACCATGGCTTGTGCTGTCTGAGCTCAGGTACAGTCATTAGTGATGGCGCACAGCACTTCAACCAGAGGTTCGTTAAACCTGCCCGAAGCATTTGCCAGAGAAATACATTCTCCCCCTCCTCTCCTCCTCCTCAAACAGTTTAATTAATATCATCAAACTAGCTTTGACTCCAGACAGTGACAAAAGCAGGGACATCAGGGAGGAGTCAGATACAGCATAGGAAGTGATCAGCTGGACGGGAACTTTTCTTCCCTTCATTCATTTAACTGGCTCTGCCTGGTGTGGGGCCACACATGACTAGAGAGGGAGGAAAAGGGAGGGGGAACTACTGCCCTCAGCCATGAGAGCTCTTGCATCAGCTCATTGCAGCTCATGAAAACAGGACCTAAGGAAGGGACCCGTGCTGAGTCAGCTGCAGCATGTGGCCTTCTGCACAAGCACACAAGAAAAGGCTGCCCTGCAGTCATGGTCATACCCCTGTGATACTAAAGCGACCCAGAAGCAATACCCTCCCCACCCTCAAGATAATCAGATTTGCTTTCTCCCATGACTTCCACATTTACCACATGTACTTTGTCCCACATGAGTTTCAACCAGCAGAGCTATTTGCAGTAAGGGTGGCACTCCTCTCCTGCTGTGGAGACACCAGCTGAGGCATTACTCAGGCACACGTGACCCTGCTCAAGGCTCCCACACCTCTTCTCCTCCTTTTCTGCCTGTCCGAAGGAAACCCCTCACAAGACCAGCTTAGGGCTTTCACCCTAAAAACCTCTTCCTCTTCAGCTGGGCAGCAGGCTATGGTGCTGTACCTCCAACTGTGCTGAGACAGCAGGTGCAGGGTGCGATTCTTCTTCCCTGGATGTAGATGCAGCAACAAATACTGGAACAAAAGTACCTTCAGAAAAAATAGATTCCCCCCCCCCCGCTTTCTTTGAAACAACCTGTCCTTCTCCAGCCCCTCGCTTTACACTCTTTTCTCGATCTAACTGCTGGGCAGGCCATACATCCCTTTCCAACCACTGCAGCCAGAGTAGTACTTCATGCCCCTTCACCATTTCTCTTTCCAGATTTCATCTCCAGTCCCAGCACCCCACCCCCCACCCTCCATAAAGAGGTAGCCCATTTCCACAGAAATCTCAGCAACATAGTAGGGGACCTAACCAGTATATCACAACAGGACACTCCAGCTCTGTGCATTAGATGACTGCTGAGCATGGCATATCAGGAGCACTTTGCCCTCCTAGGGAGAGCTTCCCAAGGACCTTGCTGGTGCCTCACAACACATGATGTGCGCCAGCTGCTCAGGAGCACAGCAACTCACTGAAGGTTGAGCAGGAAAATGCTTCTCGTAGACAGCAGAAACTCCCCCATCCCATATCATCAGGAAACAAAAGCCTTTCAAAGCTGCGTGTGTATGTTCAACGGAGAAGAATTAACTGCCTTTAATCCTCTTAGATGATGCAATGTCCCACAGCACCTGGAAGGAGAAAGCTCCAGGTTCATTTCTCCTCTGCTTCCATCATTTGCAGCAAGCACCATGACCTGTAAAAATTCTTCCTGCCAGTTCACTAGAAATTTCAGACAAGTCCTAAGCAGCTCCAGGCAAAAGGCTGCACTTGGAGGCCACAAGAAGTTAGCTCACTACAACACTGAGGAAAGCCCACTGAGGAGCACAAGCATCATGGACTCAGTGCTGTCCCTCCACAGAAGAAAGTCAAGGCTCGTCCCCCAAGGTCACTCTGCACCTTAGGGTAGACAGATAGGAAAACACCAAGAAGAGTGCGGTTTTAACGGTGAGGGCAACTCAACCTTTGCAGGTCTGTGCTTAATGAGTGCACTTCAGTGCTCTTCCCACTCCCAAAGCATCCAAGACTGTTATTTACAAGTTCCCTTCGGCAGGCCATAAATCCAAGCACAACTAGCAAGCTCAACACGGTGTAAAAGGATCCCTGTGGCAGGCTAATTACCTTTGCAAGCTATGCAAGCCTATAAAGTTTGCTTCTGTACGGAGGCTTTGAAAACTAATGACTGTCTAGCAGATCAAACTTTCCACTTTCTATTGTTCTGCTCAGGGCAGCCAGCTGGGAATTCAGGGACAACAAATCTCCAGTGGAAGAAATTAAGGCCATTAAGAGAAGAGAGGCTAAACAGAAAGCTGACTCCACAATGGAGTGTAACAACTTGCTACGGGCTCCATCAGAAAGGGAAACATGGTCAATCCAAATTGAGAGGAAGAACTTCTACATAGATGGCATTTCCCCATGAAAATCTTCAGTTGCAGTGACTCCTAAAAGTTAAAAAACCCCAAACAACCAAAACCAAACAAACTCAAAACCAAACCAAAAACACAAAGAAAAACAAACATGCTGCATGAGGCTGTGAAAAATCCCAACAAGCCTAGTTTCCAGCTCAATGTCATCTTAGTAATGGCTGAAGCCTTCTCCCAAGGGAACTACACAGGTTACAACATTTCCCAATAAAAGTGTAATGTCTTCACTGGTAGTTTTGGGGTTTTGGGGGCAAAAGTCTCACTAGAGATTACATGACCAAAGGCAAAAGATAAAAAAAAAAAAAAAAAAAAAAGTATCTTGGATACCATATCAGCTATGACAAAAAAGTGCAATACAGTACAAACTTGTATACTCTATAGCCAAGCTTCTTTCCCCTTGGTGCAGACCAAAACTAAACAAAACCTGGAACTTAATACAACTTAACACTGCATGCAGAGTAAGGGTACTGTGCTAAATCTTGATGGCTTAAATACCATGATAGGAAATAAATAAAATAAAAAAAAAAAATATTAAAATCTGTACAGCAACTTTCAGGACTTTTCCAGAGGAGGAAATTCTGTGTTTTCCTTTGTTTATATGGTACTACCTGTTAATTACAAACAGCCAAGGAAGCAGAAGCAGACAAAGCTCTCTGGAGCATATCCAAGGGACACAGACTAGTCTGGTAGCATCACGCACATACTCTCCAAAGACAAGGCCTCCAAAAGGGGTTTTCAAATGTTCTGGATACAGGTTTACCAGTCACCCCAGATATAAGCATGTCGACATTTCTCAGAAGCTTTCTCACAAGTTTCTCTCAGTTATTTTTCCCCCCAGTGAAACAGACAAAACCAAACAACAACAGATCTTGGTAACTTCTCACATATTTTTGCTGTGCTTTACAATCCTGAGGCAGGGACATGGGCTCTCTTGCTGCAAGTAACAGAGGAATTTCTGAAAAATTATGTACTGCTAGAGACAGTGAAAGTGGGGAGTCTCCTACTGAGCTCAATACTGCAAGGTGAAATCCACTCCCATTACACATTATGGCTGCGACACAGATGACTCCTAGGTTTAAATAACAACAATAAAGCCAAAACACCTTATAACTTAAAAAAATGAGCTCTCAAACAGCTTCACGGTCTGCTCTGTAGCACCCTAAATAGACAGCTGCAACATCCTTACCAAAACTCAGGCTAAAGCTTTTTCAGTACATATGATTCTGGTTTGACCTGTTTGGACAAAAGCAGGAAGCCAGAGAACAGCAAACCACATTATCAATAAAGACACATTTGGATGGGTAATAAAGGCATACTCACGCAGTGCGTACAGAGAGAGGACTATTCCAGCCAGGCAAAACCCCTCAAAAAACCTGAGTGTGCTGAACATGGTCACGTTCACTGAGAGTGCCACAGTCAGTCCAAATATCAAAATGAATATGACAGAGAAGAGCAGTACAGGCCGTCGACCAACCCTATAAGTAAGTATGGAGAAACAGTGTTAAAAGCCAGCATGGACATAATGCTAGATCATTACAACTGGCAGAGAGGAGGACAAGTCATGCAATCCCTTCCAAATATTGCCATCCTACTTTTAATGTTTGTTCCATTCTTCTCATTTTATTCATGCTTACTAAACCACAGATTTCTTAGCCAGCTTTGCATTGACAAGTTCACTTCAGACGGGATTAAGCAGAGACAGCACATTGTATTACTGCTTGATTCAACTGTCATTTTCTAAACACCAAAGATGAACAAAAAAACATTGAGGAAATACTGTAAGGCCATATACAAGTTCCTTGGAGATTAAAAGCAGCTTCTCCGAGCTTTCTGTAGTAGCATGGGGGAGTATATGGTGTTACATGGCACGGTTTACTTCTATTAGACTATATTTCTCTATAGTCTACAGCCACAGAGCTTACTGCAGAGGACTCTTCTTCCCAACAGACACGTCCTCTTCAGCCTCATCTGCAAGAGAAGCTGGCTCAAAAAATTACTTTTCTTGACCTCATTGTTGAGGACAAGCCTAATAAACACGGACCAAGCATAAAACAGGGCTCATGTCACTTCACAGAGCTTTAGAGAGCCAATAGTAATGCTCACAGGAAAATCGTGAGCTCCAAGTCCCTCCATCTTGCATCCCCACAGCAGCTGCAGAGACCTGCAAAACTAGCTTGAATAGAAGGTAAGGAAGAAACTGCCCCAAAAATCATTACAGGCAACAGGGGTGTGAGGATTTGCAGTCCTCCTCTGCAGGCAGGCTTTGCAGCTGCAATCTGGAGTTGCACATGTTGGTGCAGTGCTATGAGCAGGAAGAGTTACGCTGCCACTGAATGTAAGGGGCACTTGCTGCAGAGTTTGACTCTCATGTCAAAGGAACATGAGATTTTTACATCTCTTACTCATATGCTCAGTGTTTATAATTCCCCTTTCCCCCCCTCCCCTTCCTGTGCAAGTGGAATGATATGAAGAACCAGAGCACATGGCTATTTTTAAGCAAGAATTGGATCATTATGTGGAGATTTCCAAAATTTTTCAACTTGTCAACTCCCACTAGTTTTCCAGTGGAAGTGAGGATCCCTTTTAGTCAGCTCCATATGCCATCTCCACAAAGAATATATGAACTTGCTTTTCGTAGGCAGCTTTCACAGACCCATTCAAAGCAGTCTGTCAGCTGCAAACCAGGCATCAGGTTGAATGTCAGCACGATAAAAAGCATTTAAATCTCACAACTTAGTCCGGTTTCACATGCTGAAGTGTTTCAATTTAATAATTCGAGCAGATTGTTACCAGCAGCTATAAAGTATATGTATTCACAATTAGAACTTTAGATTTTGCTTTACATAAAATGGAACAAAAAAAAAAAAAATCAATAAAATATGAAGGGCTAAAAAAAGAAGATTATAATTGTTATATTTTTTTACATTTTTGGGAACTGAGAGAGTGCACCAGTATGTGTGCATTGTTCATACTTTTTTCAAAGTCACATCTAAGAAGGCAATGTCATGGCTCCTTGCATTTTTCAGCTGTAGCATCTCAAATCTTTCAGCTGGGGCATCTTAAAGATTTACCTTCTTAGTGTTAACCATTCTATGTTTTTACAACAGGACAATGTTTTGAAACAGAACCAATGTGCAAACTGAAGAATGCAAGGTCAAAGCAGACTGCTCTCAACCAGCATACAAATCCAGGCCACCAGAAGATGAAATACTGTTGAGCTAGGGGTGGGAACAAAACATCACTGCCTCAGTGATATGCAACGTACTGTGAACATGCTGGACACCAGGACAGTTACTGCTGTATGTGCTTCGTATTTTATGTTTATGGAACACAAAGCACTTGGGTAGGAAGGTGAAGTACCTCACACAAAACCTTGAATACAGAAAAAAATCCCTATGAACTTTGTGTTATCAGCGATCTGCACAGGCTTTTGCAGCCCTATTTTTGTAATCACCAAGCTGTAATTCATACTAATTAGTATTTGTGGAAGTGTTTTGTAGATGAAAGGCATTATGCAAACACTCAGAATTAGGAGCTTAATTCTCATCACAAGCCTGACCTGCATTCACTGATGTCGATTAAAAAAAGACCTCATGCTTCGCATACTTCAGTTCTTCTTTCCCTTCCTCCCACCCCCTGTACTCAAGGTTATCCATCATTAGGACACAGAATTTCTTCTACCGTTATACAAGTTATGCAAAGGAACGGTTGCTGCTAATGAAGAATCGGGAAATCCAAAAGCCTCCTGGGCCCGTGAAAGCCAACTGAGGCCAAGAAACCCCCTGGTAAGAGGGATCACCAGTGCCTCCTCCCAGACTCAAAACTAGTCTCCTTCCTCCCAAGGCACACAGTGCATTGCTCTAAAATCAAAGTTCTGGGGCAGCTATCAGCCATATATTTGGCGATTCAGCAGTGGTTTGACAGGATGGTGTCTTGGGGCAGGGGGAGGGAGGCAAGCCTTTTATTTGTAGAGGGAATTATCTGACTAATAGTACATGGAAATGCTTGTGAGAAGTTAAACCATACACAATCTCCCTAGTATAACAGCCCTGGGATGCTGTCTGCTGCCACCTAAGCTATTCCAGAAAGATTTCTGGGCCACCCAAGTCTCAGCCTACACTGTATACTATTATCTAGATCAAATGCTAAATGCTGCCTGCACAGGTAAATAACTAGGGATACAAGCAACCCCAGGCTTTTGAAGAATCTGCAATCCACACAGTGTGATATGCAGATGCCTCAAAAAGATATTCCTAATATTGTCAGAGTTGCACCACAGGAGGAAAGTAGATGGTTGGAGGACAAGATCTCATCTTCCCATGCTCCTATGCATGTACCTTACCACCCTGAGAAGACTGAGCTTTGCTCTTGCAGCCAATCACATTGTTCTTTCCATGACATTCTTTGCAGGTTTTTTCTCAGTCCTGGGACTTGAATTGGCACAAAGGCTCCAGAAACCACCAGACCAGGTGCAAAGCACAGGCAGCACTGGGCAATGACAGGCAGAGACCTACTGTCTTGATGCTACATGACCAGCAAGCCCACCTGCTCCAGAAGGAAGCCTTCCACAGTGACCCCAACAGCCTCTGTCCAGAGCAGGCAAAATTGCCTGTGCCACTCTGCCAGTTGATCAACTAACTTATTTAGCCATTAGACACAGCCAGTCTTCACACAGCCAAACTAGTTTACAGACATTCTTCCTGTAGATTCTTCACACAGAGCTATCTCAGCATGTACACCTACTGTATTTTGAGCATAGACTACTCAGTTTACATAGCAAATGACCTTAATACACTCTATGTCTTTGTCACATACAGCTTTAAAAGCCTTCTTTCAAAAAGCGAAAGCAAAGCCCCTAATGGTATCAAGTATCTTCTAATTATCTAAACTGGAGAGTGGTATAAGTTAAATGAAAACAGACTTTTAAAGTTTGTAACCCTTTTATACATTACTCTGTTTAATCTCCCCTGCTATTGCTTGGGACCAACATCTTTTTTTCTTCTTCTCTTTTTATAGTACAATCCCCTTTGTACTCGTCTTTCCACAGAACCCCCTGCCTTACTGGAAACTCAGGTTATGATTAAATAGCAAAGTAAATCCCATTTAGGCCTTCTTTTACCAGCCCCAAATGCTACTGCTAAATGACAAAAAGACTATTCAGTACAGGAGCCCTGCTGGGTCAGTTACTTCAGATGGCAAGGATGGGGACTGAAGAGGAGCATGAGGACCAGCTTTGGTGGCAGCAAACAATGTCCTTCCTGGTCATCCATGAAAGGGCAAGGAGGTCACTGTACCATCCACCCACCACAAGTTACACTTTTTCTCCTTTGTACCACTGCTGGAAACCAGATTCTCCCTAAGCAATCCTGAACTCACTAGACAAAACAAAACAAAACAAAAAAACCCAAAAACAAACAAAAAAAAAAACCAAACAAAAAAAACCAAACCAAAACCAAAAAACAAACCACCACAAAACCACAGTTCCACACTTTTGTATCACAGTAATTTTATGCTGCATTAACTCAGCTAAGAAGCTTGCTTGCTTGCAGAGGGGTCCAACAAGCGTACATGGCAGCATAAAGTACACACTGGGGACAGAATGGATGGAAGAGCAGGATGCGCCTTTTGGTGGCGAGAGCTATCTGTTTACTGCAATTGTCTCTTGAAACCAGTGCCTTGGGCAATAAGTTGTTCACTTATTTGTAACTTATTTGTCAATTATAGCAGCATTTTCCTAACTTGGGAATAACTCTGCTTTCTTCATACTGATTCCTTTTTAGGAAAACCAAGCAAGATCCCCACTATACTTTCTACATGTTGTTAAAGCCCTGTTTTACTTTGGTATTTTAATCAAATTCAACTGTACTTCATCATGCATGTTCTCTACTTCACTGAAAAGTCATGATTCCTTACTTGCCTAAAAACTTTTAGTGACTATTCAAGAATTAAGATGCAATTTTGCTACAAATGTTTGAGCCAAATTACTGTGTGGCTGCAGGGGGCCTCTTCTCTCCCAACTGACTGGTGAGTTGCTGCAGCTTTGTAGGATTTCCCTAATAGGGAACTCTTCTTCCTTTTCTGTTTTAATGAATGGCAAAAGAGTTAACTTGGGGCCATTTAAAGCACCAACATTGGCAAGTGTGCTGGAAGCCACTGAAATGACTGGAACGACAACGCAAAGCTATTGTTTCAGATGCTGCAAGTTTCCATCGAAATCACTTGAGTCATGCCTTTAATTTCCCCCCCTTCTTTTGCACTACAAGACCATTTCTTTAAATAAAAGCTGAATTCTCAGCATAATTGGGTATCCAGTAAGGTTTTCACTACTGCGATTTAAGGAATTGCACTCTGCTTGCAAATTTAATACCCCAGAATTACCAGCACATAAGTCAGCAATTCCTTAACACTACATCGAAATGTCTGCTTAACAAGAACTTTAAAAATGGAACAATGGAATAGTTTGCAAAAAGCAGCCTTTTACCCACCAAAAGGTACTGTGTAAGCACAAGGTTGACATTACATTAGTCTTGTATTCAGCCAAATCAATGCTGCTTCCAATTTCTTTTGGCTCCATCTCTTGGTTAAAAACCAAGACCCTAAACTAAAGGCTTCACTTCTCTAATTAGGAAACAGTTAATTCTGTACTAGCATTACAGCTGTAATAAACTGTCAGTGGAAAATAACTAAGCCAACTATTAAATAGTTTATTTACCTTGATATAAATTACTCAGGTTCAAGCAATTAATAGACAGTTTTAAACTGTTTATTCATCATGCTTCTTTCAGAACCTGAAAAATCATTATGCAAATGATCTTCATGAACATACAGTAGAAGAAAAATCGAAACAATATTTAATGTTATTTGTAGTTACATTGAATTAAAATATTTTTCACTTACCAGTCAGCTATACATCCTGTTATTAAGTGGCCGAAGATTAATCCTACCAGGAGGGAGAATTTAGCAATGTGGACTTTCCAGGCAGAATCACAAACAAGATCCCACTGGAAGAAAAAAACAAATGAACGAAAACAGATAAGCTGAAATAAATTAGTTTCTCAGGTGTGTTTAGACATACTAAACTTGGTGTAGAGCTTCTTCCAAATTTCAACCCTAGCATGAGTGCATGGAAATGGCAGAGGAAAGCTTTCGCCCTCAAGTCAAATCCTGCAACCCAAGAAGCAAACTAAAGACTCATTTACTTCACTGAGTTTTATCAGACCCTTAATTATAAAATGGCAATATACAACACGTAAATCTCCCCCTTTCCAGGTCACATAAGTTTAGACTAAGGAGCATATCTCCATCAGAAATTGGTAGTACTCGTGTAGCTGAAGCGTCTCACCATACCAACCCCAGACACCTACTACCTGAGCTCTGCAAAGCCCACCAGCAGCAAGGCTGGGAATTTAAGAGCAAGTTCTTCAATTGATCTCCTCAGGACCACTTGGAAACATGGGGAAAAGCAGCTGCTTTGCCACAGACCCCTGATGGCCATTAGCTCCAGACTCCCATGGACAAGGCATGAAGACACTTTAGCTTTCAGAAACACATCCCGATTCCTCAGGTGGTAGAAGGGGATGAAGACTAACTAATGGCACAACTCACCAGGTTAAGTCCTGGTATGGACCTGGACCAGGCAACTAGAGATCCTGGCACAGCCACGTGGCTCCTTGGAACAGCAGCCCTCACAGCGACATTTCACAGCTCAGAGATCAGACAGGGGCTGAACCATTACACTAAAGCTATCCCTGAAGCTGAAATTACCTTTTCCATACAAAGAAGGAGACAATGGACCTTTCCTGTCACTAGGGCACTGTCTCATTCCCATGAGAAAGACAGGAGCAGCAAGGTTTCTAGTGAGGCTTCCCTAAACACCAATATATTTTCCTCTGAGGCATTAGCCCAAGCCTCCGGAGAACCAGGCTGCATTCCTGGCTTTAGCTCAACACCCTCATTGCCCTCAGACACGTAACTTAACCTCTCTTATGTGTAAAGTGTGGATAGTACTATTACACCCTTGAACAAAAGTAGGAAGATATGTTTGTTCGTGGTTTGTGAAGTGTTCAAATATTGATGGTAATGGAAGCCATACACATTTCATGACAAATAAGTACAGCTAACTTTGGAGAGTCAGATTCTTCAAATTGAAACTTCGCAGAATAAATGGCTGTTTGTGTAATGTGATAGTAGCAGCCCTCTTGACACCAGTAACTGAAGTTTTATGACCAAAAACGCAAAGTAAAAGTATGCAATTTATTTTTAAAATTCAGATCCAACTTCAAAAGAAAGCTTCCCTCAAAAAAGTTCGATTAGTTGTGCTACACTTTAAAGCATTTCCATGACGTACAACCCTTCCACAAATAAGGCTAGCTCTGACTCAGCTCTCTGGTTCAACATCACAGGAGATGTCCTCCCTTCAATATACCATCTCAACAAGAAGTATAGCACTTTTGTGTTACGCAGAAAAACATGCCAACTTTCAGGCTTAGCCTTTCTGGTTTAGTTAAATGTATTTTTTATTTCCTCGCTGCTCTGACTTGTAGAAGCTGGGACATATATGTCTGGTCCTCCAACCTACAGACTGAAGGCAGTAGTATGAGCAAGTGTTTTTTCCTCTGAATACCTATGAATTATTTGCAGCAAACAGCTCAGTGAGGCAGTAAGAACTGCTCTCTAAAGATGTTGACTTTCTAGAAGAAAGTGGGTGAAATGTGATTCCTAATATTTGCAATCATAGAACCAATCTTCAGTTAGCGAAGAAAAATATCCGCCCAGACAAGCCACAAACAAAACAAAATTCAGGAGATACATTTGAGCTCCAGGCAGGCTTTCAAATGCTCTGTGTTTACTTTCATAATCCCGAAGGTATATATGCAGCTTAAATCTGAGAAATCATTTTTGTTAGTAGAGAACAAATAAAGTTAATTAAAAATAGTCATATCTGTACAAGAACACTTTTTAAAAAGCAATCTCTCCAAGTTTCCAATTTTTAATTTTATTGCTGTCAAAGGAATGGTAATGTCATCCAAGTGGAAAAAAAGAAAAAGCAGATATCCTGGTACATTCTCATTTTTATGGATTATTATTGCTAGTCAAAGACAGCCAGCCCTTGCACAAGCCCCAGGCAGAAAATGTGCCCTACCAGATTACACATAGGTTCATGGTTGGAAGAGCCAAAGTCTCATGAAAGGCTGTTGTGAAATTTCTAGCCAGGACAACAGATGTCAGACCACTCTGGAACACTGGCACACAAAGTAAGAGTTTAAAAGCAGAGGAAAAGTCAATCTATCAGCACGTCCTTCAGTAGTGCCTAAAATGCACCCACTCCTTTTGATAACTTATCTGTGAGTCATCGTTTGTTTGTTTGTTTTTAAGGCTATTGCCCAAATCCCCAGCTGCTCTGAAAATAAAGACATGCATTTCCTTGCAAACCCTGCATCTGGCCCTTTCCTGCCCTCAGTTAAGCACTCACTCTGGAAACCAGCACAAACCCGAGCCGACTCCCCAAGCTCTCAAGGGCAGCCTAACACTGGTGCTGAAACACACAGGCAGCCCCTGACCCTCCCCGAATCTCTTACTCTCCAAAGCCCTCAGAACTCATAAATAGGGAAATGGTGAAATATTTCAACAGTTGCTTCAGCACAAACTTCCAGAGAATCTGTCATGACCGCAAATCACTCTCTCAGCGCTAAGAGCTCAAGCGTATCTATCCCAGATTCTCCTCTGGCAGCTGCCACAAGCCAGAGAGCAGTCTCAAAGCAGTTACCCAAAATAAATTTTGTGGTTGGTGCCTAGGTGGGTGCCACCGGGGCATTCAACTCTCAGAGAGACAGAGGAATAAGGAGAGGGCACAAAAGAAAAATGGAGACTGCAGTCAAAAGCAGCCTCAGGTAAAGATGACATTAATAGGACAAAATACATATTTAATAGCTAGTGTATCATCCCCACCCATCTTAACACAGCATCAGAGCAAACCAGCAAGGCTTTGTCATGCTGAAAGTGCAGGAATTTTGCCAGAGACCTGCACTCCTGTACTCCCCCTTCCCCGTGGAAAAGCCAAAGGCAGAGGACTGCAGCATCAGCTTTGAAGAGCTAGAAATAAAGCAAGAACTATTATACAGCATTAGTGCTGCCTCACCCCTTACATACACCTGGGCTTGGCAGAGTATACTCAACATGTGCTCACACAGAACGGCTGTGCCCAGAGCCATGGCAGGTCCTGCTGTTAAGTGCCAGTAGTTTCATCCTGCAAACACGACACTCAAGATTTGCTCCATAGAGAAAGGAGTGACAAGTTTCCATGTCCCTGCAGAACAAAATGCTAGGCTGGGCAGTGCTGATGACAGTTCAAGTGGCACTCCAAGTAAATCTGCACTGGGAGATTGTTTTGGCTAGAGGATTACTGTCCGGTCTCCATCACCTCTTACAAAAAGTAGATTAATCTTATACAAGCAGAGAGACCACTAAATCCTGTAACTGCTCTGGCTGAGTCTCCTGGTCTCCCTGTTGGGAGTTAACAGCATCCAACCTGAAGGAAGGATGCTGCTAAATTTACAGTGCTCTCCAAGATTTCTCCTTGTGTCCCTGGGTTTTGTCTGCCTTTCTGCCCTCCATCCATCCTCCTAATGCAAAAGACCTCATAAAATTACTTGCTAAACAAATAGGATTGCATTGTTATGCTGAAACAAAAATAACTGTATATAGAATATGCTGGTGGAAACGGAACATTTAAAAAACAAAAGCTTTTCTTTTTTTCATAGCAGTACAGCAATTTACCACCTATGCAGATGTGCAATATATTGCAAGTGGCTTTTTTTCTTCCCCATGTTGTGACAGCATTTTTTGTCAAAGCTTAAGGAGTCACACCTTCATGATCCTAATGTTTAACTGGTATCCGTGAGTCACCTCCCATGCCCTGAGTCACTATGCTTCACATCAAGATGGAGGACTCTTCGAAACCTGAGGTGCTTGGAAAGACAACTGGCAAAGGGCAACGCACCCAAAAAGTAACCATCCTGTAATTTCTTTACAGGGGGCATAAATTTGGAGAGGGCTAATGCAGTGAGTCAGTATTCTCACTGAAGTTATAAGAGTCATAAATGTAAAGTCTGCTGAGTGCTTGTTACTACAAACACAAGCCGTCACAATTAAGGGCTCTGACTTCAAAAGTGCTTGTCCTCGAGAGGCCATAATGCTGTCTGTGGCATCTAAGCACACTGAATAACCACTGCAAAAAGGTCATAAGATGCCTGCCAAGGATTTGGTTTGTTCTGCCTTCATCCTGACAGCATGGAAAAGTGCAAGGCAGACATTTCTGTCCTAAAAGGAGCAAAGAGACACGAGGAGAGAAGCTCTGGTCCAACACTTGCCCAAAAAGCCCCCTAAGAAGGGAACTAGACACATGCGTCCTCTCCCCACACTGTGGGTTCGCAGTCTGTTTTCAATGACTCAGATCACTTGCAAAAGCAGGCAGACCCTTCACCAAAAAGTCTGCAGGTGGATCATAGTTCTGCTCCAACTGGTCTCTGCACTGGTTTCAGCACAAGGAGACCAGAGAGTCATCTGCATGGCTGCCTTGGAAAGCCCTAAGCCAGGCACAAAGCTGCACCCTCGGTCCTTCCCCAGCCAGGCAGCACCAGCTGCTGTGCTGGCCTTCACAGACTGCCCTGAAGCAATCTGTGGGACTCTGTGTGCACGTCTTTCTCTGACGCATCATATACAGCCTCTCGACCCCTAACGAAAAGGTCCCACTTTGAGAGTCCCAGCCTCTACCCATCACATATAACACAGTTTACCACAGCCACACCAAACCCCTCCTGGGGCAAAGCCACAGGCTTCCCTGCACGTTAGATGGTAATTTTAAGACCAGTAAATGAATATAAGAATCTATCACTTGTCACTGAGGTCTGTGTGCATTTGGTCTCATCTTTCTTTGTTCCTCTCCTTCCTGCTTCATCTTTTTTATAACGAAACCCTGTCAATTTTCCCTGCACAGCACTAG